TTCTTGGATGAAAAGTGAAACATCTTCAAGGAAAAACAAAGTCCACTTGCCTTTTGAAAAAGCACCTTTGGTACATACAGGTTTGTATTCATACAGATTTATAAGCATGTGATGCAGTCATATGGATGTCTTAAAACTTTAATTGGGCAAGGAATGAGATAGTAATTAGGTAAATGGGATCCTGTATGAAGATTTTTGAATCATCCAACTATTGTTGTTTGCATCAAGAATTCAGTTTCAATTGTCTTCTTCCCTTAAACATAGAGGTTTCATTGGGATATTGTAGTTAATAACTGTTATCAGTAAAACCCAGTAGCTATTTCAACAAGTTGTAGTCACAAATTTAAGCTATGCATATGATAGGATCCAAATGTAGTCACGTTTTAAAAAGACCCTTAGATATCAGAGGCACTTGAATTATGCAAGTTTAAAATTGACTCACTTATATCAGTGCGGGATGCAGTGTTGTTTGTTGAATCTTAACTTTTCCACACATATTTCCTGTAGAGTAAATAAATATAAAAGTAGCCAATGATTTTAGTTTATCTAGTCAAGTCTTAAAAAAAGACTTTTCCTGAGAGTGGTATTTTCTCATCTAATCAAATTTAAATTCTGCTACAAATATTTTCTTCTTTGGGTATTTTTTTAATGTTATAATTACATTCTCAAGATAAAAAGAAAATTGTCACTGCAAACTAGAATTGCAATTCCTAGGATATTTATTGTAAGTGGAATCACCACAGATATTATTCAGTCACTGCTTACAAAATCCCTGCCTATCTAGAATTGGAAGCAGGGGAATGCAGATATGCAAATATATCATAAGCAAATCAGCAATTGCCAATTACTCTGGAAAAAAATGTCACTACAATTGCACTCCTCCAGTGCTGAGGTCCCAGAACATCTATATATCACACTGATGACGTTTTTGGTCATAAACTCAAAAAGAGCAGATGAGAGCTGCTTTGTTTATATCATTTAGATAATGACTTTATATTACATATGAAATCATACTGTAGCACTTTGTTTAAACAGAAATTTAAATAAGCAATTAAAAACACCTGGACAAAAATTTTGCCATCTGCCATTTTATAACATACGCCATATGTCACATTGCATCACTGTTTAAAAAATAGCAATATGGATATAATAATGTTGACCTACATCTCCTGAATACTGTACAGACAGACAGCAACCTGAGATATGAAGAATAAGGACTTTTATTTTAGATAGGTAGATAGATAGATAGATAGATAGATAGATAGATAGATAGATAGATAGATAGATAGATAGATCCATCAATATGGTCAAAAAGTTATATTATGCTGCACATGCCGAATATTTAACCTTCAAGAGTCCATTTAAAATCCAAGGATGTTAAGGATAAGGAACAAATGACATTTATTCAAGCATTGCAAGATTTATTTATGAAGCCATCCAGGTTTTCTAAAATAGAATATAGTAAATGTTTCTGTTTTGGATAAAATGCAAAAGTAAAGGAGCCCCAGAATGCAAAGAGCAACTGTAATTATCATGTGAGTATTTTTGCGATAGCCTTGAACATGCTTATCACTTCAGATTTGTAAAGCTAGTCGTATGCCTATTTAAATGAACATGTGCAAAAGCTCTAAGGTGTGCCACTGGGCTGCAGTGGCTAAAAGTTTAATGCAATTGTTATAATTAAGATTATTCAATCAGTTATGATTAAATTCTCTGGATAAAACATAATTGTCATTGCAGACTAGAATTGGGATCTTCATAATAAATAGAACTGCCACAGAAATTATTTAGTTATTATTTATTAAAGAAAAATGTTATCTATATGTTATACAGCAAGTAAAATCACACACTTCTGTTCTGTTTGGAGAATCTCATCCCAGGCTCTAAAGATTTGGGAAAACATTGAGGAAAAGTCACAAAGATTATGAGAAAAATAGCAATAAAGATTGAAAGATTTGAATATATTATATTACATGTTCAAGCTAATTTTTAGAGCAAATAAGCCTTTTCACTGCCTCTTTTATCATAAGACATTCAGATCTAATTTATCCAGAGCAATGTGGCTGACTTCCTTTTTAGAAGACCCAGAGCAAATTTCATTCAACTGTCTCCATATGCCTATTTACAAACCACCATCCAATAAATACTACCGTGCAAGGAAATCTTATCCATCTTTTCCCCAAAACAAGTGCTGCTGTCCTCAGTGGATATATATATGTAGGTCTTTGGTTATTCGGGTTTTCTCCCGCGTAAAATTGGAAGTGTCTTGGCGACGTTTCGACGAAGTCCCATTCGTCATCTTCAGGCTGGTGTTTTCGGCTTCGTGCTCCTAGAAGACCTACATACAAACACCCGCGAAAACCTCAGAAAACATATATATATATATATATATATATATATATATATATATATATATATATATATATATATATGTATATATATATATGTTACTCAGGTGTAAATGTTACACCTGTTTATCAGTATATCTGAGTTAATAGAAAAGAAATAGCTCAAATAAGTTATCTTGCTAGAAGAATTTTACATAAGGAGAATGGCAGAAAAGCAATTTGGCATGAATTTGTTGAGAAATCAAGAGGACTCAATTATCTATTTTAGAATATTCTATAAGCAAATTCCACAAATTATGAATTTCAGTTAATTAATCTTGAATGTTTAAGGACAATATTCTAAATGGAACTAATGCTGCATTTCGCTTAGAATCTTGATCTCCATTACTAACTGACAAGAAGCCACTCAGTGTTTTGTCTCTACATTTAATTCTCCCTGTCACTTCTTTGCTTCTCCCCCACCCCCAATCTTTCCCCTATAATCGATCACCGAGTCATCTTTACCCCCACAGACCTTTCTTTCCCCTGTGACGTATTTCTCCCACTTCTGACGGACATACTCATCTCATCCAATGCCTTTATAATGGATTCTCCTTTCTGAAACTAGTAACCACCAAAGGCCCCAGTATGAGAATCAGCACAATAACAGCAGAAAGGAAGAAAGAGGAGAAGGAAGTTTTCTCCACAGTGGACTAGAGGAAAATAGGGCATTCAGATCAAAGTACTTCTGTTTTACAGATTACCTCCTCAAGGCAATTCTTCTTCCTGAAAAAAGGAGCCCAAGATCACTTTCCCAGTGGTGATGCCTGGATGGCTAGTTAGCTGGCTGGCTGCCTCCCTGGATAGTGATAGTCTCAAAGAGCTGCTGAGAATCTGATAAAATGGCAAGAAAGGCAACAGTTCTCAAGACCCCAGAGAAAATCAGATATCTAGCTTCCTTTCGGTGCTGTACCAGACCCTACATGAGCCTAAGCTAACCTGCACAGGGGTCTTTTAAGTCAAAAGTGCTTTGTAAATGCGCCTGTCCCTTTAAAGAAAGGGAACGCTGTCTCTCACAATCTGCCTCTGTGGGTGAACACAAGGTGCTGAGATTGAGCCGCTTGAGAGAGAGTAAAGACGATCCAGTGGAAGGAGGAAGAAGGGAAAACCTGCTGGAAAAAAGAAAGAGGTGAATTGGGGACAGAAATGAAGATAAGTGAAATAAAGGCAACAGGGCCTGGGGGGGAGGTGACAGTTTTTGTTTAATAGTCATAGGAAAAATAATTGTGTTTTCATGGAGGGTGGGGGGGATAATAAAATTAATCTAATGTTATTGAAGCTACTCTGGGAGTTTAGAATTGTCTGTGTAAACTCAAATAGCATTCTCAACAACCTTTTATGCCTGAACTTCAAAAAACTGAATTTCTAAAAGAATTGTCAGTTAAGATTCACTGGGAAGAGAAATTCCTGTTCTACAGCTGAATCCCAGTGCTGTATTAGTTGTTTGGGTTTTCTTTTCATTATTATGGAAATATAAATATTTATGATACATAGAAGCCTCATACACACTGTTGTTTTGATTGAAAAACACACTTTTCCTGTTCTGATACAAGGCTTAAACTAAATGTAAATTCTGAATGTATAGCAACAATTGAATTAAAAAGTATATCATATATTCACAATAGTTCTACATTTTCATTGTTTATTTCTTGGAGTTCTTGATTGTGATGGATTGTATTTATTTTTTAAGTGTTGTACTGAAGCTGACTATCACAATAATAGCAAACTTAAAACAGTTCTTGTGTAGGGATAGAAATATCTTTTTTGTCAATAAAGATTACTGGTTTTAAAGTAGAAAATATTATTTTACAGATTTTGTTCTTTATTTTTTATATTTTTCAATTGGTATAATGTCTTTAATAAAAAAAATAATTTTACCAAAAGGACAGTAAAGAAATGTTTCTCATTGTAAAAGTTGGTTTTACACACTTTTTAAAGATTTCTAATCAGTTTCTTTTGCTTAAATCAGAACAAAATCAGAATTTTAATCCTGAGGCTAAAACTAGGAAATAATATTTTAATATGACACTGATTGTCTGGAACATTGACCAGATTATGTTTAAAATAAAAAAATAATACTATAAAGAATTGTAGATTGAATTCTGATATTATAATGTGTAATTTACTTACTACATATATGCAACTGAGATTTAGCAAGTACATAATATGTAATTTTTTTATAGCTCCCATATTATGAAATAGCAATCCAGAAACCTGTTGTGACTTCAAAATGGTTTTTCATGTGGAAGGGTTGATAGCTATCATTTTGTTCTACTTGGCCATCCTGTTTGTTGGAATATGGGCTGCTTGGAAGACAAAAAACAGTGGGAGTGATGGAGATCGTCGTGAAGCTATTATAGTTGGTGGAAGAGATATTGGCTTGCTAGTTGGTGGATTTACCATGACTGGTATGTTTCACTCTTTTTACTATTATTCAAGTGTGTCATTTATAAGGTGACAGAAATGTATCCTTTCCAAATATACAACTTTGTAATCAGAGAAAATGCTTATTAGTTTTCACTAAAACTAGAAGGTCTGAGTAGTTCTGCCAGAAAGGCTTCAACAAGTTGCTTCCAAATATTTATACTGAAAATGGTGATTTGTATATTCATCTTTGAAAATTACAACCCAGTACGTTTTGCTTAATAATACAACATGAACAGTATTAACATACAGCCATTTCTTCTGTACGTCCTCTTATTATTTACTACAAAAGCTATTTAGTGAATGAATTACATTTTCAGTTTTTGTATCACTTTTGGTAAAATCAAAAGAAAGCAATGTAAACAAAAAAAAGTCATAGCTATTTGCATAACACGCACAACAGGGGGGAAAATGCATCAATACCACTTTAGTCCCAGCCAGACACCTCTATTAATTTCAACACAATTACATGAAAAATGTACTAAAGCTTCTTTATCATGATTTAGCCAGATCATTTTGGAAAAGGGTGATTCCCAAACTAATTTGGGAATTACAAACTATTTGTAGTTAAGCCACCATAAATAGAAATGCAAGAGGATCCTGAAAACATTTCATCAGAAATTATTATTCTATGTAATGGATTGCTCATAAGTAGAATTGGCCTGATTCTCTACAAAGGATTCCCCCTTAATGTTATTTTCACAGATATCAGAAACAATGGACCACGAAGTCTCTATTTTTTCAAAATATTTGGACTCCATAATGCGAAATGATGAGACACAGTGGACTAAATGCACTAAAATATATAAAAAGACTATGACAGTGTTACAAACTGTCACGTAAGAATTGTATAAAATTAAATGAACTATGAAATGACTCCGGTCAAACAAAAGGATTTGTCTTTTAAGTGGCTTCATGTTTTCTGAAAGAAAGTCACTTGCGTCCCCAATTTTATATTCTTTTTTATTTATCTTTCAGTTTTTAATGCTTTGCCTTCAGTTTTCAAAATCACATTATTTGGGTTTTATTTTTAATTGAAGGATTAATTTCAATATTTTATCAGTTCTCGTAATTTTGGTGACAGGCAACAGTACAAATCTATAATAAGGAAAATATTTAATTCAGTCATTAAATAAAATCCTGTGCTTTTCACAACATCAAATTTTGTTACAAGAATCTATAGTTCTGTTAAGATAAATAAATATGCACTACAAGTGGTTGGTTTCATCTATTGGATTGCTATTTTCCAATAACTCAGATTCACAACTGCCATCATTTTTCAGTGCTGGGTTCTGAAGCCATATGGACTAAGGAGAATTATTTGGTAGATTATCAGTCCTATAAGTATTTGTTGCCGTTAACTATAATTCCACAATGATTTTTACTTGCAAATATTAAAATATTAAAGATAGCCATTTAAATGGTAAAATTGCATTTAATTTTGTCCATAAACTGAATACCAGTCCTAAGAACAATCCGAATTTTTCAGTCTGTTTTGCTAAGAAGAGAGCCAACTGTCTAAGATTATCTACATTAATATTTATAATGGGAAAATTCTTCAAACAATTAATAGTAAAAATAAGCTTTTTTAAAAAAATGAATTAATTCACAGAGAGTTAACAAGAAATTACAGAAGCCAATTTAGAAACATTGAGCAATAAAATGAAAATAAAATAAGTGACACCATATTTATATTTCCCTATTTTTATAGCCCTGTATGTGTCTGTGTATATATAGTGTATATGTCTGTGTGTGTTTGTGTGTGTGTATAGATACACATACACATACACACAGTTAATATTTGATTTCATTCTAATATTATGGAATTATATTGATATGAAAATTATACATCCAGTTTTACTCTGTGCCTTAAGCTTTTCTTTAAATACTTGTTCTGAAATTAGGACAATAAAATCTGTAATATATATTAATCAATAAACGTAATAAAACTGATAAGTTTATCCCTTAATTTTTCTTTGTTTTCCCTTTTAGTTTTACTATCATGTATGTTATTCATGTTTTGCCTGTATTTTAAATTTCATTTCAAAATAACTTTCAATTTTTTTATCAAAAGAACTGGTAATAACAATCTTACTGAAACTAAAATCAAAACCCTCTGCTCATCACAACTGAAATAGTTCCAAAAGGGTGGGAAAAAACTTTCTGCTACCTTTTCAACCATAAGCTTATGAAAACTATTCCATCCATCAAGGTCTGAAGAATGGGAGTTAATATGAGACATACCGTTCGTTAATGTATGTCCCAAAGATGCTTTTTCACGAGGCAACTGGACTTTGTTTTTCTTTGAAGATGTTTAGTTTCTCATCCAAGAAGCTTTCTCAGCTCTGAACTCAGCTCAGATGAGAAGCGAAACATCTTCAAAGAAAAACAAGAAAGTCCAATTGCCTCATGAAAAAGCATCTTTGGGACAACTATGAACTGGATAACTGAGAATCTCCATAGGCAGTTCGTTAATATATGACTGAAATAATTATCTGAGATATAACATTAATGTATGAATGAAACAATTATAACAGGACTGAATAGAAAACAGGCTATCCCTAATATAAATGTCCTATAATGTATTGAGTTGTAAAGGCACGGAGTATAAATTTGGGGTGACACATGTAAAACAAGGACATGAATGAATAAAATAACTTTGTATTGCTACATGATGTGCTATTTAATTGTTATTTCTTTTTACTTTAAATGAGGATTTGTTTTTATGGTGTTGATATCTTGGACTTCACTATTTAGTCTATGCCCAGAAAATGTTGGCAACAAAGAATTTGAAAACATAACAAATGTTATCTGCAATTTATTGAAAGAGAATGGATTCCACAAAAAATATTTGAATAATAATATTTAGAAAAAGAAACAGTTCTATTAGTTCAGGTGAACAGTGATATGAAAATGCTCTGTTAGATGTTCTTTTTTAAAGGAATCTATACCAATAGGAGCTAAACTTAGGTTGACGTATAGAATTATTTTGTTCAGCGATGTCAATTATGTTCTTTTGCAGGATTTTTCTATTTCATTTCCCTACATAATATTTTCCTATCCTACCCATGAAGTTTCAACTGAGTGTGCTAAATTATAATTGCACTACAGGTAGTCTTCAGATTAGAATGCTAATTGAGACTATCAGTAGGCAATATGATCCCACATGTGACCACATCACTTAGGAATGGAAATCCAGCAGTCCCCATTGCTATCATTAACTAAATATGACCAATCATTAGACAAGGACTTTCCCCAATCCAAATCACTTCTAGATTGGTCCCTCCCAGCCTTGAGCCTCAGGAAGGCAAGGGACTGCCTCTTCTTCAATTGTCCTCATCCACCTATCTGGAGTGTTGTGGTTCACGAAGTTAGAATGCTGGGCTGATGATTAGCAGCTTGCATTCAAGACCCACTGCTGCCACAGGGCAGGGTAAGTTCCTGTCACATGCTCCAACTCCTGCTGAACCATCAGTTCAAAAGCAGTGACCACAAGTAAATTAATGGGTACCACTTTGGTGGACAACTTTACCAGGACACTAAAGGAGCCACCAACTGGGCATCCTTCAGGCAACAGTGATGTCACTGGCAAATACTTTCAGCATGGAAGAAAAAAAATCCACCTATCTTCCCCACCCCAATATCTCTGTCCTTTCGGTTACCTTGCATTCCGTCATCTTTGCTGACCTTGCTGCCCTGTGCTTACTGGCCTTAACAGCCCTGCAGGGCTTCAAGCAGCATTCTATGGTAATGGAACTGAGAATACTGATGGCCCCAGGGCTCTACTTCAGTCCTAGTGCCACTACAGTCACTAAGGAGTGCTGTTGTGTAGGGCAGCAAAGGACCAGAGATGAGGGAATAGATATGTGGGAAGAGCTGAAGTGACCCTTTGTGGGTGGGCTTCCAAATACCTGCATTTTGATCACAAGATTTCATGGGCACTGCAATGGCCATAACTTGTGTAAATATCATTTGTACAGCACTGCCATGACTTTGAAGGGTCGCTGAATAAATGGTCATAATTTGAGGACAATCTCTATAGTTTTTTTCTATATTATTCCTGGTTTGTGTGTGGAAAGTGCTACTTTGGCTAGGACAGGACCGCAGTATGGATAACTGATCTATGTAAGGTTTGCTACAAAAGCCAGTAATGCCATCTGAGTGTGCCAGACCATTTTTTTTATTATATCAATTGTCTTCATAGCCATCATGCAGTTAAAAATTCTGTTAGCCACATTGGCTTTCAGAACCATTCTGTTACATGTTCTGTCCACTATATTATGTAGCATCAACACAAGCAGAATAAACAACAGGACTTTGTCTTCATTCAATAGTCATAACTTTCTAATATGCTTTGCACCTGTTTCTATTTCTAGGAAAGATTTTTCTCTTTAACCAAGCCTTTCCTTTTGAATCGGTTAACAGTGAGTTTCAACTATTTGTTATGTGAATTGTTGGTTAAATTGTTTTTTTTTAAAAAAAAAAAATCTGGCTTGAAAGCCTCCAGAAAAAAAAAGGAGGGATATAAATTAATATTATTGTTAGTATTTATATCCTCATCTTTCACTAGAAGTACAGTATTAGCAACTTGCAGACTGATTACATGCCACTGATTTTACAATATCCTATTCCTTTGGTAGGAAATAATATCAGAATAATATCTATATAACTTTTTTCTCATTTCTGTTAGTTATATATAGGTCAGAGTGCTTCATAATATCCCTTTTGTCTGTATAGGAGGTATCAGTAGGCATAGGAATTAGACAACATTTCATATTTGGGACAATAGATTAACCTCCATTATGATCCTAGGAAGCCATTCCAATAAATAGTACATTTTATACTATTTTCACTTATTTTATTGAGATATATATTGCTTGCTATCCCAATGGGGAGAATTTTTTCTTCTTTTTAATTTTATATTAAACTATTAAAAAAAAACCAACAGTACCATTCAGATTCGGAATTATGGAGCTTACAGTATTTGGGGACATTTATCTTAAATATTAAAGCAGCCTGTTATGAAAAATATGTCACTTGTATCAGCTAGCAATCTTGGACATAGGAAGTGTGACCTGAACCAGATTAAGGGAACTTAATCAGACTTTAATTTGGGTTTCTGTGTGGAATAACCTTTGGTACAATTGGGGGTCAGTTCTTCCAGTGATCATCAAGACAAGGCTAAGGCTAAGCAACGCAGCCTTATGAATTACGCTGAGTCAGTTTGCTCAAAACAGTACTTCCAATGGTTTGAAGGAAGCTATTAAGTGGAATACCATACATACAGACAGAAATGAAGAAGGAAGAGAGTCAGAGAATACCAACTGATAGTTGCCCATAGAAATACAGAGGTTTCACCTGGAACATCTGTACAGGTAGCCCTTGACTTACAACAGTTCATTTAGTGGCTTTCAAAGTTACAGTGGCATTGAAAAACAGTGACTTATGACTGTTTTTCATACTTACAAATGTTGCAGCATCCCATGGTCATGTGATCAGAATTCAGATGCTTGGCAACTGATTCACATTTATGATGGTTGCCATGTCCTGGAGTCATGTGATCACCTTTTGGGACCTTCTCACAAGCAAAGTCAATGGAGAAGCCAGATTCACTTAACAACCATGTTACTAACTTAACAATTGAAGTGATTCCCTTAACAACTATAGCAAGAAAAATCATAAAGTGGGGCAAAACTCACTTAACAAATTTTTCACTTAGCAGCAGAAATTTTGGGCTCAATTGTGGTCCTAAATCAAGGATTACCTTTACTCCTTTTGGCAACCAGAGATTACTCATTACTATAAGATGATACCAGTCTGCATTCTCCTTGTGTCCAACTAACAATTTCACTAGAAGAATGGGAGACCCTATTATTCAGCAACTTTATTCTATTGATAATCTTGAATGTCTCTTCAGAAGATCACAGGGCCAATGATGGCCATTATTTATGAATTAGTGTGGATCCATGATGTATTTCTTAGTTCTTAAAATATTTTTACAAGTCAACCTGTAGGAGACATAATCACTGCCATTATAATGCAAAATTTCACTAAATATCTGAACATTCTCCCAGCTTGACTAATAATATGTATCTTTGTGAGCTGCTGCTGAAGTGCTCAGTATGATGGTGATACTACTGAAAATCAGTTAACTACAGTAGGTACTCAGAAAAGCTGCTTAACAGTACTTCACTGCCATTTCTTTTGTGAGTAAAGATAAGAGTTTTGTGGAAATACACAGTCTAAGAGATAAAAAAGAGTCTAAGCAAAGACAAAGCAACAAGAACATTTAGGCTGGCACTTAGAGGTATTATATGCCAGTTAAATTTTACTTTTATTTATTTCTCTTTTTCCCATTACTTATTAAAATAGACTAAATCTACTAATTTTAGTGTATAATGTAAATTTGCAAATTACATGCGTGCAGATAGGTCTTTAGATGAGGTGACTGTGTGCAATATCATTCTTCATTATATTATTTTTGCTGCACAAATCAATTACTTAATTTTGCTTTCTCCATCCACTGTATAATGGATGTCATTCACTTCTTCCACAGCAACCTGGGTAGGAGGCGGTTATATCAATGGAACAGCCGAGGCAGTGTATATTCCAGATGTTGGACTAGCCTGGGCTCAGGCACCCATTGGGTATTCGCTTAGCCTCATTGTAGGTAAGCTAAAGATGGAAACATAGCAAAAGAAAAATATATTGTTAAAATGAAAAAGATAACTTGAAGTCAATATTCTATGAATACTTTCATTATAAATGAATTTGGGGAGGATGGGTGGAGCCAGCACTAGAGATGGTATCTACAGAACTATGTTCATCTATCTTGTAACAAGATATTAAGGACAAAATTTTTGTCAAAGCCTGGTGTTATTTAGTGGTTTTGTTGTGGCAAGTTTTAAAAATGTATGGAAACTTAGAGGAGGTCCCTTCTCTTATTTTCCTCTCAATATTGGGTGGCATTAAGAATTAGTCATTGTTAGGTTAAACTATTTACTAAACAAGTTAAAAGTAATGGAAATTAAGTCCTGTTGATTTTTATGAATCATAGTATCAAAAGCTTGGGACAATTCAGGTCATTGTCCAACTTACTGTTCAGGGCAGGAGTACAAATTAAAGCATCTAAGCATATGGGAATATAATCTTTGCTTTAATATACCCA